GACGGACGGCGGCGCGCGCGGGGCCGGATGCGGGCGCAGCTGTGAGGACGGCGGCGGCAGCGGCGGCGACGCAGAGGGAAGCGCGGCCGCCCGGCGCCCCCGCCGACCCCAGCCGCTCCTCGGGCACCGCGCAGCCCCCTCCCCGCCCCCGCGCCAGGCCGCGCCCCCTCCGCGGGACCGAGGCGGCGGCTAGAGCGTCCCCACCGCCGCCATCTTGGTAAAGGGCGGGGAGGTCGGCGTCAGCTCGGGAGCCGCTTCTGGCAGATGCGCCACCGGTGCACGCGGCCGCCCGATTTTTGTTGTTTTTTTTTCTGAGTCTCCCAGGGCAGGTGCTTTTAAGTTCGCGGCTTGAGGTGGTGCAGCCGAATTTAGTAAGTGGCCCCAGGTGTTTTTGAAACTTCCGCCAGGAGCCAAGATGTCGGCCGCGGGAGGTGGGGGGGGGACCGGAGACAATCTAGCCTCGCGCCTCGATGGTAAAGAAGCGCTCTGAGCCCCACCCCCGAGCCCCGCCCCCTCGCGCGCCTGCGCAAGCCGAGATTGGCTTTGAAAGTGGCGCAGGGAGCGGTTTCGCGCTTGCCCGCAGGCATGAACGCCGGCTGCACCCCCGCCGGTTTCGGCTCCGGGTTCTTAGTCACGGCAGTGCGTTCCCTCGGCCTCTGCAAGCAAGGGGTGAGCCCGCCATGTGCAGTTTACCCTTGCGTCAGGGGTCCCGACAGTAGTGAGGCCGCTCCGGAGACACTGTGTCTCTGGATCTGACTGTCAGGCTCTCCAGCACCGGACCCCGAAGAAACGGGGGTTCCCAGGACTCGAAAGAAGGGTCAGTGCGGGGCGGGCCCTCCCGGAAGACAGACTGGTGGGGCTCAAATCTAATCTGTAAAGATAGACACAGAATGGACACTTTGAGGGAAGGGCTCATTATTATGGTTCTTAGTAGGTATTGTGTGACAAAATTTTACCCGAGGAGACACAACACACACATCTACTCAGCCCAGATTGGCACACCCGCTGTCCCTCTCCCCGATGTGGCCACGTTGAGTCTCTGATTTCCGCCTTCTGACTTTTTTTGTTTTTGTTTTTTAATGTGCATGCGTGTCGCGCCTGTACGTGTGTCTGTGCAGCAGAGGCGTGAGATCTCCAGCCTGGAAGCTGCTGGTTGCTGGGAACCGAACTTGAGGGCTCTTAGCTGTCCAGCCATCTTTCCAGTCCCTGGGTTTGGCAGTTTTAACTGACATATTGAGGAAGGTGGCCAGACTGTCATCTCTCTGGCCTTACCCCAGTACCTGTTTGCCACTAAGGCATGGTACAAGTCCTTTCCTCCCTTCCGACTGTACCCCTCTCTGCCCTCCTATGTGGGTGTTATCCAAGAACAAGACACCAGGCGTAGTAACACCAGGTGGAGATTTTTATGTGCGTTGGTGTTTTGCCTTCATGTGTATCTGTGAGGGTGTCAGACCCTCCTGGAACTGGAGTTATGACAGTTGTGAGCTGCCATCTGGGTGCTGTGAATTGAACCTGGGTCCTCTGGAAGAGCTGCCACTGCTCTTAACCTCTGAGAGATCTCTCCAGCCCCACAGATAACATACCTTATGAAAGGCAGGGACTTAAAAAAAAACACCATCTCCGCAGGGCGTTGGTGGCACATGCCTTTAATCCCAGACTCGGGAGGGAGGCAGAGGCAGGCGGATCTCTGTGAGTTCAAGGCCACCCTGGTCTCCAGAGCATGTTCCAGGACAGCCTCCAAAGCAATACAGAGAAACCCTGTCTCGAAAAAAGCACCGTCTCCAGGCAATGGTGGTGCACACCTTTATTCCCAGCACTCCAGAGGCAGAGGCAGGCAGATCTCTGGGTTCAAGGCCAGCTTGGTCTACAGAGTGAATTCCAGAACAGGCTCCAAAGCTACACAGAGAAACCTTGTCTCAAAAAAACAAAACAACACACACACACACACACACACACAAAACCCCACCATATCCAGGCTGGGTAGTAGTGGCACACACCTTTAATCCCAGCATCTGGGAGACAGAGGCAGGTGAAATCTCTGTGAGTTTAAGGCCAGCCTGGACTACAGGGCAAGTCCCAAGACAGCCAGAGCAACACAGAAACCCTGTCTCAAAAAAACAAGATAGCAACAACGCACACACACACAAAGGCAAACACTCCACATCCATGGTCCCAGCAACCACATGAAAGCTTGCCCCTTCCTTTGTCTCTGTGAAGCCCCCTCTGTTACCAGGACTGTTTCCCCCTCTCCTTGTGGCTCCCTTCCCCCACTAAAGCTTTACCCATATCTTCAAATTCTTTAGCTATTTTTTGTTTTTGTTGTTGTTTTTCTTTGAAACCTGGTCCCCTCATGTAGCCCAGGGTGACCCCAAACTCAATGTGTGCCACAGTCTATCCAGTGTTGAGACTGTTGGGGTCACTGGGGTGAACCACTGACACCCTACCTCTAGGTGTCCTTTCAGTTGTCACAGAATGCCTTTGAGCTCATGCTGAGACACATACCCATGGAAAGCAGAGGGAGAGTTATGTCTCTAAGCACCTGGTTTCGCCAGTTCCAATCCAGCATTGCTTCGGGTCTGAGCCAAAATGGAATACCTTAATAGCAAAAGAGCACAGTGAGCCAGGCAGTGGTGGCACACGCCTTTAATCTCAGCATTTGGGAAGCAGAAGCAGATGGATCTCTGTGAGTTCGGGGCCAGACTGGTCTACAGAAAGAGTTTCAGGACAGCCTCCAAAACAATATGGAGAAACCCTGTCTTGAAAGAGTAAGGTGCGGGGCTCACAAGTGTCTTCAACCACTCACAACTCTGACTGGGCCACCAGGAACTCCTTAGTGGGAGCCATCCACAGTAACCTCCCCTCATCTCAGACCTGCCATGAGTCCCACCCCGCAGACCTGCTTCTGACTGTGACCCTTGAGTAGGAGTGAACCTCACAATCCAGTCTCCACACGTCAGCCAGCATGAGCTCTGTGCACGGGGTACTGACTGGAAGCCCCCCTCAAAAAGAAACCTGAGGCTTCCCATTGCTTTTAGAACAAAAACAAACTTCTGTACAGGAAAACCAAACCATTCTCTCATGGGGGAAGTCCTGTGTATATGTTGTCCTGTTGGTTGATAAATAAGGCACTGTTGGCCAATAGGGAAGCAAGATAGGTGGAACTAGAGTCGAGGAGGATTCTGGGAAATGTAGTCAAGAGTAGGAGTCACCATGTGATCCCGGGAGGAGAGGGCACAAGTCTGGCGTTCTCGGTAAGATAAGACCTTATTATATATATATTAGTAATTATGGGTTAATAATGAAGTCAGAGCTAGCCATTAAGAAACCATAGCAAACGGCCAACAGCTTCATAATTAATATAGGGTCCTGCGTGTTCACTTGGGACTGACGCAGCTCTGGGACCAGGCTGGCGGGAAAAATGCACAGTAAAATTCTCCTTTACTCCCTTGCCACAATCTGTATAGATTTTTGTGACCTCACAAGGTGTGGGGCTTTCTTCTCACCAGTAAGCAGTTCCGTAAGAGACACCCACTTGTGTTCTTTTTTCCTTTTTTGAGGGTGTAGGAGGAAGACAGGTTATCTTGTTGCCCAGGCTGACCTAAACGCACTATGTAGCTGAGGGTGGTTTTGAACTCTGATCCTCTGGCCTCCACCTCCCAAGTGCTGCTGGGGATGGATCACCACACCTGTTTTCTGCTGTGCTGAGGATGGAGTCCAGGGCTCTATGCACTCCATGCACACACTCCGCCAGCTGAGCTAAGATCCCTGTCTCCGGCCGGGCGGTGGTGGCACACGCCTTTAATCCCAGCACTCAGGAGGCAGAGGCAGGCGGATCTCTGTGAGTTCGAGACCAGCCTGGTCTACAGAGCGAGTTCCAGGACAGCCTCCAAAACAACACAGAGAAACCCTGTCTCGAAAAACCAAAAAAAAAAAAAAAAAAAAAAAAAAAGGATCCCTATCTCCTTTCCCCACCCACCCCCTCTTACCTCATGGTAACGAAACAATTTGGAAGACCGAGTCTCATTAGAGAAGGCAAAGGGTAACCAGCCCATATCTCCAGGAGGATTTCAGAGCGTGTGCATGACTCTTTTTTTTTTTTCCTTCTCCTGAGGAGCAGGGACCTAGATTCTATTCCAGAGTCATCCAGGGATCCGATGAGCATACCGCCTCATCCTCCCCAGGTCCTGGTTGGAAAGCACCATCCCCTCTCCCTTGCACAGGAAGAAAGGGAGGGAGTTGCCCAGGTGCTCTCCTTGACATCTTAGCAAAGCTCCCTGGGGTCATGCAAAAAAGTATCATGTCTGATACTCAGTTCCAGGAGGGAGAGCAGTTGGTCACCCCATAATGCCCCCTACTGGTCCTTAAGTTGCCCAGTATCAAGATAGGCCCTGCAACAGCCCCCAGGTGCCTAGGGCTGACTGATGGTCGTTGTCACAGACTGAAGGTCTCCGTTCCCAAGCTCAGAAGCCTGACCCCCTGGCAATGACTAGACTTTGGGCAGTAACTGGGGATAGACAAGGGTGGAGCCCTAACAAGGGGACTTCACTGAGAAGAGGAAAAGACACCAGAGTGTCCCCTCTCTCCAGCATGGGGCCATCGTGTGTGGACCACTTTGAGAAGACGGAGACCCCCCACACACACACACCAGAACCAACCGTGCTGGTTTCCCATGGGATCTGCAGCTTCAGGAACTATGAAAGACGGCCAGGCATGGGGGCACACATCTTTAATTCCAGCATTCAGGAGGCAGAGGCAGGTAAATATCTATGAGTTCAATGCTACCCTCTGACTACATAGTGAGATCTAGCCCCCCCAAAAATTACAATTTGCAGGAGTCAATTTGTTTCTTCCACCATGTGAGTCCCAGGGACTGCTCGGGTTTTCCGGTGTGGCAGAAAGTGGTTTCACCAGCTGTGCCATCTCATTGGCCCTAAAAGCCGTGATAGTTGTACTATGCAGTTTCCCAGGGAAACCACACACACACACACACACACACACACACACACACACACACACACACACACACACACACACACGGTCACGTTACAGTGTCTTCCCCGGGAAGAGAAGAAACTGAACACTTGTATCTCAGTTTGAAGACAGGGTTTTAGACCTGAGGAACATCTGCTCCATTCAGCCACGGAAGAACTTAGATGCAGCACCAAATGCCCAAGAGAACAGGGTGGCTGGATAAGTAAATGTTCCTTCAGACCCCGGGACACTTGGCAGCCATTAAAATTTCCTTTTTAAAGGATCGTGGGAGAGTGAAGACAGTGTAATATAATGCTGGGTAAACAAAGGCTAAGTGACCTTATTTAGAAAGAAGCTGAGTTTCATTTTCCTGTAAGTCGCCTTAAGACAGAGAGGGCACACAGGGACATGTCTCGAGGACCTGAAAGTCCCTTAGGTTTTTATCATTGAATCAAGGCTTAACTTCACCAAAGCCCGAAACTGGAGTGTCCCTGAGTGCCCCAGCCCTGGGGAGAGGAGTCTATCCAGGCTGTGAGAATGCACAGACCGGCAGGTAGGTCATATAGCCAGTGCCTGGGGCCTCTCAGAAAGATGAAGGACCAGAGGTGATGCCTGAGACTCAGGAAAGGGAGAAACCTTGACGATCGTGAGAGACAGGGTTTCTCTGTGTAGCCCTGGCTGTCCTAGAACTCTAGACCAGGCTGGCCTTGAATTCAAGAGATTCACCTGTCTCTGCCTCCCTGGTGCTGGGATTAAAGGTGTGCACCACCACCACCCAACTGCCTTTGGACTTTTTTAATCACAAATCCTGGCTTGTGGGAATGTCAGATTAAATCTTACTAAAATTTATAGGAGTCATTGTCTAGCCTGAGCTACTGTATTAGACCATCCCCTAGGCTGTAGAAAAAGTGTGCTGGGGCCTTGGTAGGCTCAGAGGTTAAGTGCACTTGACTGCTCTTCTAGAGGTCCTGAGTTCAATTCCCAGCAACTGCACGGTGGCTCACCACATCTATAATGAGATCTGGTGCCCTCTTCTGACGTGCAGGCAGAATACTGTATAATAAACAAATAAGCAAATAAATCCTTAAAAAGAAGAAGTCAAATTAAAAATTAACACAGCATGGGCTGGAGAGATGGCTCAGAGGATAAGAGCACTGCCTGCTCTTCCAGAGGTCCTGAGTTCAATTCCCAGCAACCACATGGTGGCTCACAGACATCTGTAATGAAGTCTGGTGCCCTCTTCTGGCCTGCGGGCATACAAACATATGCTGTATACATAATAAATAGATAAATGTTTAAAAATAACACAGCAAGCCGGGTGTTGGTGGCGCACGCCTTTAATTTTAATCCCAGCACTCAGGAGGCAGAGGCAGGCGGATCTCTGTGAGTTCGAGACCAGCCTGGTCTACCGAGCGAGTTCCAGGACAGCCTCCAAAGCCACAGAGAAACCCTGTCTTGAAAAACCAAAACAAAAAACAAACAAACAAAAAAACCACAGCAGACCTCGCAGTGGGGACTCATGCCCACTCAGGAGGCAGAGGCAGGCAGATCTCTGTGCGTTCAAGGCCAGCCTGGTCTACAGAGCGAGTGCCAGGATAGGCTCCAAATCTACACGGAGAAACCCCATCTCTTAATAAAAGAAACAAAAAAAACCCACACAACAATGACTAGGAGGAGGCGCTATTCATCCCCCCTGCTTTAAACCTGTGTGACACAAATGGCTTTGGACTGGCTTGTTTTAACAGCATGGTGATACACACTCCTGTTCCCAGCACTTGGGGGGCAGAAGCAGGCAGATCTCTGAGTTTGAGACCAGCCTGGTCTACAGAGTGAGTTCCAGGACAGCCATGGCTGCACAGAGAGACTTGGGCTGTTCCCTTTGGTGCTTTTCTGTCCACAAATCCCAAATTTTCTCTGCTCAATGGAGTGTTTTTCCTCTCTGTCTCTGTCTTGCTCTGGTTTTTGTTTTCTGGAGATGGTCTTGTTTCTATAACCCTGACTGGCCTTGAAGTCACAGTAATCCTCCTGCCTCAGACTCCTTAAATGCTAGGATTACAGGCAGAAGATGCCACACCTGGCTCCTTTTCTCTGTGCCTCAGACTAGCCCTGAATTAGCTAAGTACCCCAGGCTAGCCTCAAACTCCAAATCCTCCTATCATTGTCTCCTGAGAATTGGAATTAAAGGTAACACCACAGGCAGCCTAGCACTTTCTATTTCGCTGATGGGGTGCTCTGAAATTGTGAATCACCAGTTATAGCCAATTAGATTTTGTACAAAGCATACAGAGAAACTTTGTTCTTTGGCAATCTAAATTAAATAGGCTGATGAATTACATCCTGCAAGGAAGTGTTCTGGGAGGAAATCATGCCTGTTACAAGTGTTGTGCCCAAGTTGCAAAGTCCCCAGAGACCACCAGGAAGACAGATCCGCTAAACTGCAAAAGCAAGGTTTTAATTGTTCATCCACCCATGGCAGGGACCCCTGTCTGGTTAGCTGACACAGCAGCCTCCAGAAGGAGTGAAGTTCCCTGTCTACTGCTAGGCTTTATAGACAAAAGTTACAGAAGTTACAGGATTATATCAGTAGATACGGGATGGTTTCTGATTAGTTGTCATTTGGGAACAATTAGGAGGATTTCTCAAAGTCGTATTTTGGCATGAAGTACCTGTATACCCATTTTTCTCATAGGTTGATGCTGAGAGGGAACATTCTATGGTTTCTATAGCATTGTCTTGTTACTTGCAGGTGCCTGTTTTATGTAGATACCAATGGCTTCCAGAACTATATCCTGGAGACTACAGGGGAGGTTTTGGTCCCCCCTGGAGTTTCTTTTGTGGTCAAACAGTTCCCAGGAACCAAGCATCTAGAAGGCTGGGAAGAGTGGGGAGGGGGGTCTGGAGTTTCTTTGTGTTCAGTTTGGCCCTAGGTTCCCAGAGACCAGAGGATCTGGAGTTTCCTTGTGTCAGAGGCCTACGTGTCTTTTCTGTAGCCTGTCATGGCTGCTAAAGCAGGGGACTGAGTGAGGGTCTGGTCCCCTTGTTTAGTTTGCCCCTTTCAACAAGATTGTTTTTCTTTGCAGGGTGTGGGTGTGGTGGGCATGGAACCCGGGCTTTTTTTTTTTTTTAAAGATTTATTTATTTATTATGTATACAGTGTTCTGTCTGCATGTCTGCCTGCAGGCCAGAAGAGGGCACCAGATCTCATTACGGATGGTTGTGAGTCACCATGTGGTTGCTGGGAATTGAACTCAGGACCCCTGGAAGAGCAGCCAGTGCTCTTAACTTCTGAGCCATCGCTCTAGCCCGGAACCCAGTCTCTTGACCATACTAGATAAGTGCCCTGCTTCCCACCTGCCCCCTCTCTGGTCCGCCTTCACCCCTAGTAACGTGAGCAGCTTTGCTTGGAGCGTGCAAACCCTTCATTGCACATCACGTAGGATCAGGTTCAGCTGGCATTAGCAGAGTTGAGTAATTGCAGCAGAGGCTGCCTGATCTGATAATGCTAAAATATTTGCTGTCTGATCTTTATTGCGCCTGCGTGTGTGCACAGGTGTTTTGCTGCTAGGTCTCTGTACCATGCTTGTGCCTGGCATCCTTGGAAGACAGAAGAGGGCATCGGATCCTCTGAAACGAGAGTCACAATCACAACTGTTATGAGCGGCCATGTGGGGGCTGGGAATTGAACCCAGGTCCTCTGGAAGAGCAGCTGGTGCCCTTAACCCTTGAGTCAGTGTCTCCAGCTCTGATTCTTCTCATCGTTTTTTTGTGACGTGGCCTCACCATGTATCCCTGGCTGGCCTAGAACTTTCTATGTAGAGCGGACTGTCATCCAACTCACAGAACCCTTCCTGCCTCTGCCTCTCAAGCGCTGGGATTAGCGTACATAGGAAGCACCCAGCATGCCCTCTCGCCCGAGTCGCCTGCCCAGCCTCGTCTCTGTCACCTCTGAGACCTCTGCTCCTGGTCGTTTCTGCCCACGCCTTTCTCCAGCCGCCACTGCTGCGTCTGCCACTGCTGGGTTCCTCCAAGTTCAGCCCGCGTCAGTTAAAAGAAAAAGTAGGTAAGGATAGACGGGCATGGTAGCTGATGCCTGTGCAACCCCAGCACTTGGGAAGCTGAGGCAGTAGAATTGCTATGAGTTTGAGGCCAGTCTGAGCTAAAACAGCTCCTGCCTAGTGTTCCTCCCACACCGTCACTAACAGTGAGACCCTGCCTCAAAATTAAGTAAAATAAATAACTAATATTTAAAAACGTTGCAACACCAGGGGGCGGCATAGGACTGGCTCGGGAAGTGAATCAACCATCGGCTGTGTTGCCAGGAGGGGTTTTGAGAACAGGCAGCAGCAGCAGCAGGAGCATTTACAACACAACAATCCCTCAAGCAAGGAAAGGCTGTGTGAGCAAGGAGGATCCAAGGACTTCTGTGGGGGCTCCAGGGGAAGTGCTCAGCCGCCGCCGGCCGGGGGCACGGGGGGGGGGGGGGTAAGAGTGGAAATGACTGTTGAGAGCTCCCAAGGCTTCTGGTTGCAGAGCCCACGTCTTTGTTAGAAACAGTGGGGCTGAGTGCCTTCCTGCTAGATTGCGCTTCTCGCAGCAAACAGCTGTAGTTGCAGGGCAACTTCTTGGAGACTTCAGGGCAGCCAGAGTTGGTGTCAGGTTGGTCTGATTGGCGCCCAAAATAGGGCTGCTTGGCTGGAATGCTCCAAGCAGGGTAGTAAGGCAGCCGGAGAGCCAATTGCCCTGGGCCCCCACATCTTGCCCTAATTAAACAATTAAAGGGGTGCTTAAAACAAAAGCCTGCCAAGCTGGGCTTTATTTATTTCCTTACTTATTTATTAATTATTTTTCTTTTTTGGCAGAGTCTCACTGTGGAGCACAGCCTGGCCCCAAACCCATGGCAGTCTTCCTGCCTTAGGCTCCCTGAGTCCTCTCTTTCCTTTTTAATTTTTTTTTTTTTTTTTGGTTTTTTCGAGACAGGGTTTCTCTGTGGCTTTGGAGGCTGTCCTGGAACTCACTTTGCAGACCAGCTTGGCCTTGAACTCACAGAGATCCTCCTGCCTCTGCCTCCCGAGTGCTGGAACTAAAGACATGTGCCACCAAATCCTAGCAAAAAGTTTTTTTTTAATTGAGGGCTGGGGCATGTGCCTTGGCATGTGTGTGGACTTTGCATAGGAGGTTCTCTTCTTCTTCCTTTCCCTGGGATCTGGGGATGGAACTCGGTCACCAGGCATGGACAGCAAGTGCCTTTTACCACTGACCAATTTCACAGGCCTAAACTTCCCTGGGAGACCAGAGTTATTCAGATGACAGCCTGCCATCCTTCGTCCTCCATGGAGCAGAGTGACTTTGGCAACTTCCTGTATCCTCACAGTTGCCCTGAGCACTGCCAACCAACCGGGGGCTTCCATTGCCGTGCCTTTCAGCCAGAGCAAGGCCCTGGGTCCTGGAGGCCCCCTGCTCTCACGGGCCTCCGGAGAGCAGGAGCTCTGCACTGCTTGCTAGAGGGTTCCCAACGTCTCCCTGGCTCCCTCGTGAGAAGGAGCCTCTGATGCCCACTGCCCCACTCAGTGGCCTAGGTGTGTGCAGAGGAGTGAGTCAGCTTTCCCTTGCTTCCTTCTGGTCTTGGGGCTTCTTGGATTCACTTCCTTTTTTTTAAATTTTGATGCACTTGGGCGGTTTTGCCTGCATGTGTGTCTATGTACCTGCCACATGCACGGTGTGCACACAGAAGCCAAAAGAGGGCGTCCATCTTCTTGGCCTGGAGTTGCTATGGTCTTGGGGGCCTCCATAGGGTGCTGGGAACCGCTCCCAGGTCCTCCGGAAAGTGGCGAGCACCCTTAACGGCTGAGCCATCCCCACAGCCCCAGTTTCGCTTCCTGGATAAACTAGTTCTACCACGTTTTTTCCCAGGGCATCTGCTTCTGGGGGGGGATTGCTATCTTAGACAGGGCGGTGCCTTGGTGGTTTTTACTGATTTAATTTTTCTGATGTAATCTCTCTCTCTGTCTGTCTATCTATCATCAATCTATCCATCTATCTCTCTCACACATACACCCCTAGGGTTTCACGTATGCAAGGCAATGGGCTCTCTCTTTAACTTCCTTTCAGCTTGTTATTTCTACATTTGGGGTCAACTGAATGCCAAGCAGCTGGGCACACCCGGGAGGGTCTGTCTGGTTAGATCGCTTGACCTGTGGGCAGCCCACGGCAGAGGCCATGGGAGAAGGAAGCTTTTGAGTTTTGCCGCCCTGCCCTCACGCTCACTCTGGCAAGTTCATCGGTCCTGTTGCCCAGGCATTGCTTCGTTGGGATTGGAGTCTACATCTTCAGGATCCGAAGGCAGACTGAAGACTGGCAGCTCTCCAGGGTTCCAGCACAGACTGCGACCCCTGAGCAGAGACATCCGGCAAATGGCCTGAACTGACTTGGGCTCCTGAGCTTTCCTTTGGGTGACAGTCATTTTGGACTACTCAGCCCCACAAGCCACACTAATAAACAGCCTGTGTGTAGCCCACACAGACCTCGGGTTCACCATCCTCCTGCCTCAGTTTCCTGAGTAACTAAGATCACAGGTCATAGGCTTGCACTACGAGATCTGCAGGTGTTGTGCGCAGCTGCATGCATATGCATGTGTGATATGCATGTGTGATATGCATGTGTGTGGAGACCAAGGCCAGCCTTGGGTGTGGTCCCTCAGATGTCATCCACTTTGTTTTCTGTGTGTGTGTGTGTGTGTGTGTGTGTGTGTGTGTGTGTGTGTAGGTGTGCCTGCATGGATGTCTGCACCACATTCACGCCTGGTGCCCACATTGCCCAAAAGACGGTATCGAATCCCCTGGAACTGGAGTTAAGATGGTTGTGAGCTGCCGTGTAGGTGCTGGGACTTGAACCTGGGTCCTCTGGAAGGGCGGCCAATGCTCTGAGGCACTGAGTCATCTCTCCAGCCATTTTGTGTCTTGAGACAGGGTCTCCAGTTGACCTTGGACTTGCTGAGTTGGTTGGACTGGCTGGCTAGTGAGCCCAGGGGTCCCCTTACCTCTGTTTCCCTGGTACTGGGATTACAACCATATGCTACCACACCCAGATCTTCATGTGGGCTCTGGGGATAGATCTCAGGCCCTCATGCTTACCCAGCAAGCACTCACTGAGCCACCCCTCCAACCCTCAGCCTGGTTTTGTAAAGAGAACTAAAAAACAAATAGGGACTGGGCAGATGGCTCAGACCTTAAGAACACTGACTGCACATAAAAATAAATAAATCATGAAAAACAAACAATGTGCCAGGTGGTGGTAGTGCACACCTTTAGTCCCAGCACTCGTGAGGCAGAGGCAGGTGGATCTCTGTGAATTCGAAACCAGCCTGGTCTACAAGAGCTAGTTCCAGAACAGCCTCCAAAGCCACAGAGAAACCCTGTCTCTAATAACCAAAAAAAGAAAGAAAAAAAAAAAGGCTGGAAGACAAAGGATGGACATATTCCAAGTGGTCTGAGGTGCCAGCCAAGGACCTGATGGGACAAAGCAGAGGCCTGTGATTAGGACTGTTGAGTCACGACACTGAGGTGAACTATTGGGAGGATAAGATGAAATGTAACAAGTGTACCAAATGAGACCCTTTCAGGCTGGACTCCACGGCAGTGCTTGGCTGGAGCCTGGGACTTCACGAGCTCTCTAGGTCCTAGCTTGGCCCCAGCCCCAAAGCTTCCCGACTCTCCCTCACTCCAACTAGGACTTAAGCAGGGCACCTTCTCCGTTTCATCCTCTGAATAGGTCTCTGGAAGCTGAGGTCTGCTGAGCCTTATTTCTAAAAATAACACTAACTTGGATCTGTACGATGATTCTCTCCATAGGATACCAAAACCCCAGCTGGGGATGAGGGCCAAACACCAGGCAGCCGAGCCAAGCGCACTAGGAGTGACCCTCCCAGTATCGGCAAGGACAGCGGTCCTCGGGAACACAGAGGCCTCTCGTGCATGTGAGGTTTCTGTGGCTCCACCAAGCTCTAAACGCGTGCACATCCTTGAAGACTTTGTTCAGTTGAAACCCTCCAGTGTCTTCTCCTGTGTGCACGCAGGCAGACACTCCCTTCAAACAAAAGCCGTTGCCATGACATATGGCTGCCTTTGTAGCAGCACTAGTCAGAAAGGAAGACAGAGCATAAGACAGAAGGAGGAGAGAGGCCAAGCCCCTCACAGTGGATAGGCAAAGATACAGGAGATTAGCCGTGATAAAAGATAAGGCATAAAGGAAGCAGTACAGGAAGTCACAAGACTCTTTGCCCAAGTGTGCCAAGTGGGTCAGGTTCAAGGAGATACGGGAGTATGGCCATTAGAACCAAACAGCACTAACATCAATGATATCTCTGGACCTTCTGTATGTGGTGGAAGGGGGGGCAGAGCCTGATAGCTAGTAGCCTGAGGTTGTCCCTTCCCCCTTAAGACCTTCGTTCAGGGACTGGGGAAATGGCTCAGAAGTTAAGAGCACAGGCTGTTTTTCCGGAGGACCCAGGTTCAATTCCCAGCACCCACATGGCAGCTCACAACCGTCTGTAACTCCAGTTCCAGGGGATCTGACACCTTCACACAGACACGAAGGCAAACAGATGGCAGGCTGGTGGACCTCCCGATCAGTGTTTGAAGAAGAGGAGAAGGAAGAAGAGGAAGAAGAAGAGGAGGAGGAGGAGGAGGAAGAGGTAAAGGAAGAAGAAGAAAGACCTTCATTCCTCCAGCAAAAGCCTGATCCTTGACTATGTTACAGGCAAGAATTTTAATAGAAGCCATAGCAAAGCAGAGTTACTGGGTGTGTTCAATTCTTTTTTTCTTTTTCTTTGTGTGTGTATTGGGAGGGGGCAGTTCAAGACAGGGTTTCTCTGTATAACAGCTCTGGCTGTCCTGGAAGTCACTCTGTAGACCAGGCTGGCGTCGAACTCACAGAGATCCACCTGGCTCTGCCTCCCAAGTGCTGGGATTAAAGGCGTGTGCCACCACACCCCCTGGCGTGTGTATTAAAGTCCTGTAGAAGTGCAACAGAGCCGGAGACAGGAGCGTGTCTCCTCGGGTCTTCACAGTGGCTACACCCAGCCATTTGTTACATTCTTCAAAGGATGTGCAAGGGTTAACAAGCAAGGTCAGGGGCAGAGGCAGGTGGCTATCTATGAGTTCAAAGTCAGCCTGGTCTATATGGTTCAATCTTGCCTCAGGAAACCAAAAATAAAGACTGAGTGGAGCTTAAAATTAAAGTGTGAATATTTAGTAAAAAAACACACACACACACACTATGCTGGGTGTTTGTGGCGCACACATTTAATCCCAGCACTTGGGAGGCAGAGGCAGGTGGATCTCTGTGAGTTCGAGGCCAGCCTGGTCTACAGAGTGAGTTCCAGGATAGCTTCTCCCCCCCACCAAAAAAAAAGAGAACACATTCTAGTTTTCTTTTTTTAAAGATATATTTATTTATTATGTACACAGTGTTCTGTCTGTATGTAACCCTCCAGGCCAGAAGAGGACACCAAATCTCCTTATAGATGATTGTGAGCCACCATATGGTTGCTGGGAACTGAACTCAGGACCTCTGAGAGACTAGCCAGTCAGAGCCATTTTTCCATCCCCAGTTTTTTCCTCTCTCTCTCTCTCTCTCTCTCTCTCTCTCTCTCTCTCTCTCTCTCTCTCTCTCTCTCTCTCTCCCTCCCTCCCTCCCTCTCTCCCTCCCTCCCCCTCTCTCTCTCTCTTTCTTTCTTTCTTTCTTTCTTTCTTTCTTTCTTTCTTTCTTTCTTTCTGTGTGTGTTTGTTCTGTGGCTAGCAGAGAATACAAGTCAATTGTAAGACCCTACCCCTAATCACAGTGAGGACCCTGGAATTTGTGACTTTGTGTATGAAACGTGGGCAGCCCAGGGAAGGATGGTGTCCTTCACATGGGACACCTGGCCTGACCTGAAGGAGCTGGTGCTCCTACACAAGGCGTCTCGGGGAGGAGAGCAGGTGTCTGGAATGAGGCCTCCTTCAGGAGGATTTGGCTGGTACTTCCTGAAAGCAGGTGAAGGGTTTAAAAGACTCAGGGACACAGGGAGTCGTTGTGAAGGGATTGAAAGGACAAGGAAGACCTGAGCTCCAGTTGGCTGTCCACTTGGTCAGATACGAGCTGATCTGTCCCGGGGCTAGGGCAAGTTTGCAAAGTGCCCAGAGACAGCATAGTGAGTGGTCAGCCAAGGGACATGGCACCAGGACAATCCTACACCTGGGGGGTGGATGCTGTGCCCACAGGTCCCAGGGTTGGCGTCTAGCATTGAACAGAAAAAGAGTAGCTTCCAGGATTGGGAATTGGGGACCCCTCGCAGCAGCATGGCACAAGGCAGCCTCTGAGAATCAGGAAGAATATGGAGCCCCAGAGTTCCTTAAGAGATCTGTGAGATCCACACTTGTTCCTGCAAGTGTACAGGACACTGGAAGTAGTCTGGAGATAGTTTTGGTGGTCACACATAGGGTGACAGCTCACAGCATCTCCATGTGGAGGCCAAGGATGTTGCCGAATACTCTGCCGGGTCAGGTTCTCACCACTGAGCACGTGGCAGCCCCAGGAATGAGCTCCATCAGTGAACAAAAATCCTCATTGCACCCCACGTAGGGAACGTCCAACCGACCAAGTACATTTTCCACTTCTCTCCTTCCTGCCTCAACCCCATACAAGGAAAGCACAAAACAGGGTGGGCGTGGGGTGGGGGGCCAGCTGCCGACTCCTCCCCACCCCCAACACCCTTTGGGTCTGGCAATGCTGGGGAAAGGCGGGGGCGGGAGCGTGTGAGACAAGTCTGAAACTTGAAACAGGCCTAAAGTGTAGACCCAGACTTCGGTACTCAGGGAGCCCGAGGCCTGCTGGGAAAGGGGTTCTGAGTAAACACATCTGGTGGGAGTTACTGGAAAGAAAGAAAGCCTGTTCGCTATGTGTACTCCAAGACGGTATCCTTCGAGAAACCAGCTGTGTGTGTACCCACGTGTATGATGTGTGTATGTGTACCAGGGTGTGTGTACCTGTGTGTGTGTGTGTGTGTGTGTGTGTGTGTGTCTAAGCACAGAGTCAAGCCAGAGCTCCAAAAATGTCATTACTAATATTGAGAGGGCCGTGGCAAGTACGCGTGAGGACCTGACTTGACCGTCCTGAGACTCACAGTGGACAGACAGACAGAACGCCAGCATGGAGCTGTGTGTCCACACTCCCAGTTCCGGGGAGGTAGAGAGGAGGATCCTGGGAACTCACTGAGCCAGTGTTCCCAGGTTCAGTGAGAGACCCTGACTCAAAGCTAAGATGGAGAGCAACTGAGGAAGGTGATCAGTGCTGTCCTCTGGCCTCTGCTTACACACACGCACGCACACACACGCACAGGCACACACAGGCACAGGCACACGCCCATGCACACTTGAACACATATGCATGGATTAGAGGGAAGTGTATGCTGGGTGTTCTCTCTCTTTTTTAAAAGATTTATTTATTTATTTGTGCTTATGAGTACTTAACCTGTGCACACCTTTACACCAGAAGAGGGAAT